CTTTAACATAATGGATGTGTTGTTTGTGTGATACTATAAAGTTGGTAGATTGTGACTGGCTTAAAAAATCATTAATTAATAATAGGTTATGTTTAGAGTGTTCCCCGCGCCAGCGGGGATAAACCGAGCACAAATATCATCGCTCAAACCACTTACGGGTGTTCCCCGCGCCAGCGGGGATAAACCGCCTCGCTGTAAATTCCAAAAACGATCTCTATAGTGTTCCCCGCGCCAGCGGGGATAAACCGACAGTACCGGAGTTTGACGGTGCCAACGGCGGGTGTTCCCCGCGCCAGCGGGGATAAACCGACAATCAGGGAACGATTGTTGACACTGTAAAAGTGTTCCCCGTGCTAGCGGGGATAAACCGACCTGAACGAAACGCAAAATAGTTTCTTTATGGTGTTCCCCGCGCCAGCGGGGATAAACCGTGGCTGTGGCTTTGTTTTTTGCTCTGATATATGTGTTCCCCGCGCCAGCGGGGATAAACCGGCGTCCGTCAAAGAGGAAGCCAAAGCCATGCAGTGTTCCCCGCGCCAGCGGGGATAAACCGGCGACCACGCAGAGCGGCGACAACCTGACGTTGTGTTCCCCGCGCCAGCGGGGATAAACCGCTATAGCAGCACTCCACCAGCTCGAGCAGCAGGTGTTCCCCGCGCCAGCGGGGATAAACCGCAAAAAAATAATATCCGGCAGTCTGTACGGTAGTGTTCCCCGCGCCAGCGGGGATAAACCGTCGGTTTGCGCGTATTGTTGTTCGGGGTCTATGTGTTCCCCGCGCCAGCGGGGATAAACCGTAGGTAAATCACAGCTATTTGATAAGGGCGTGTGTGTTCCCCGCGCCAGCGGGGATAAACCGGAGCCTGACGAGACTACTGAGGCCGTTCTGTCGAGTTCCCCGCGCCAGCGGGGATAAACCACCATATAACCCGTTATCTCTTTCTCAAGTTTTTATATTAGCAGTACTTGTAATAAGCAACATATCCACGTAACACCTCATGTTCAAAATAGTTCTCCATGCCAGAGAGGTTCACAATTATC